GACCAGCAGCCTGACTGTCATGCTTGTTATTTCCCAGCATTCACTCCTGCTTTGCAATTCCCTGGGCAGGGCCTCTGGGACAAGTCTCCTGGGCACTATAATTTCCCTGGCTGCACTGTGTCATTAGACAATTTGGTGCTGATGACACGACGCCTGTACACAGCAAAGATTACAGCCCGACAGGACGGGACAAGACAGCCTGGCCATGAAGCTACCTTCTTCCTACAAGATACCCCTGCAGCCCTAGGCATCTCCAGCCTTCCATGGGAGCTCAAGCCCCAGTGCAAGGGCTATGGAGTTAGGCAGACCTGGGCTCAGTCTACCACTCTCTCCCTGGGAGTCCCTCATTGGCCTCTATGTCCCTACCTGCAAAATGGGTTAATGACAGTGTTCCCCTTAGGGACAAAACAGTGTAACTCCCAGAGTGTCTGTCACATACTCAGCCCTCAGTAAATACAGAATGTTGTTATTATTATGATTGAGGCCAATGGTGGCTGTTATTGTCAGCCCAAGAGGGAGAGTTCTATATTCACCTTTTGGGGGAAAACTAATAAGGATGAGCTCTTTATTCTCATAAGTATCATAAAGTAAGTTCATAATTTTCTTTGGTAAAATGGTATTTGCTTGGAACTTGAACACATATATTTTTGCTCTAAAGTTGAGTAGTCATTTAACATGGATTCTTCCATGGACTATCTGTGGAGTGCCTGCTATGTGCTGGGCACCCACCTAGATATGGTGGATTTGGCAGTGGCTGACAGTAGCTAAACCAACAGATATAATACAATGTCAAATGTGCATGGGATACATATGATGTCAAATAGTGCTGTGAAGAAAAATCCAGCTGGATAAGAGAAGAGAGGTATGATGGCACTGCATGATAGCTCTAATCACGTATTCATGTGGCTGGAGGCCTGCCATCAAAGTGTCTACAGAAGAAAACTGCCCAGGGCCTGGGGCTCCCACCTAATGCGTCCCTCAGAAACAGCACCAGATCGCCCAAGTGCCTGCACCTTCCCCACTCTCTCAAAGCTTCTACTGAAACCACAGCCCCTGGTTTACCCTCAGCTTCACCTGGCCCTAGGCACACATGTCCATGAGAGGGCCTTGGAGCTGCGGTCAGAGCCCAGGCCTCTCAAACTCCAGGCCGGCAGCTATGGACTCCCTAGGAAGACAGAGGCTCCCAGCTCTTCTAGGTTTCTGTGGGTCTCACAGCCACTACATAGACCCTGCCATGAGTCCGGCCTGGCCCCCACACAGGCAGAGTGCCCCCACCCATCCCCTCACCCCCAGCCCCAGCCGGTAAATCGTCCCTGAATTAATCAAAGCGCTGCACTGGTCCAAACTCACCAGGGGCCTCCTCCAGCGGCCACTTTGTGTTCTGTAGATTAATTGCAGCTGGGGGAGGGGAGGGAATCCATTTTTAGAAAATCATTACTTTCAGAAAGAGAGGGGGGCCTTCAGGCTGGGGGAAAAGTGCTGAGCTGGCAGCTCGGGCCTGCTGCTTGAGCTCCAGGAAACCGGGGACTGTGCGGGCTGCTCCCAGCTCAGCGGGAAGGTGGCGGCCTGGGCCCATACTCCTGTTCTCCTGAGTCGAGGGCCCCCACTTCCCAGCCCTGGCTGCTGCTGCCCTGTGATCCTCACACTGGGCTCAGCAGATTGCTGGCGTCCTGGCAGAAAGGGGTCATCCCAATATTGACCAACCCCCACCTCAATGGACTTTCCTCACTGGGCCCCTTACCCACCCCACTGCTCTGAGGGCAGCGTCAGCCCTACCTACAGCTGCAGGGAAAAATGAAGCGGAGGGGACGGGCGCGCTCATCTCAACTGCCTTGAATTGAGCATTTAATAGATTTAACAATATGAAATGGGCATTTTAATAGGTCAAAATGGTCAGGTATTAGCAATCCCATGTGGTTAGCCAGCTCTTCATAGGTATTTTCTCCACAGTCCCATATCAGCCCCGTAAGGTGGGTAGAATGGCTGCCCATTTTATGTTTCAGAAATTGAAGCTCGCCTGTGCATGATAGTGCACACTGTAATCCCACCACTCTGGGATGCTAAGGCAGAAGGATCAAAAGTTTGACCCCAGCCTGGACAACCTAATAACTTAGTGAGACCCTGTCTCAAAAAACAAACAAAACATTTTGCAGCGGGGGGAAGACAGGGTCTCCCTATGTAATCCAGGCTGGCCTTGAACTCACTAGGTAGCCCAGGCTGGCCTCAAACTCACAGTGTTCCTCCTGTCTCAGCCTCTCAAGTGCTGGCATTAGAGGCATGCACCACCACACTGGGCTCCTGTCTCAAAATGTTTTAAATTAAAAGGGTTGGAGATGTAGCTCAGGGCAAAGTCCCTGGGTTCAATCCTCAGTACCATGACGCAAAAGAGAAGGAAGGAAGGGAAAAGAAAAGAAAAGAGAAGAGGGAAAAAAATTGAGGTTCAGAGAAGTTGACTTGCCTAAATGTTCAAATACAGGTCTCCAATTCCCACATCCTGTTTCTTGTCAGACGTCCTCCCCAACCTGTTCCCAGCACACCTGCAGGGACAGTCAAGAGGTGTACTTCCTTCACTTTGTTTCATTGAGAACACACAGAACAACAAAAGCTTCTGTGGGCTGAATGTTGGGGCTTAACTGACCCATCAGGAAGCCAAGGTTACCCATGAACCTGGAAACAACTGCAGCCACAGGCTGTGTTAGGGTGGCCCTGTGCAAATTACAATAGTCTCCTCTTGGAGCATTCGCCTCTTCTTGGATCAGGTAAGGTCTTACCGAATCCTCTGCAGTTGTGGGATGGGGTTGCATGTCTCTGAAAAGGCTCTTGGTGCCTACAAATGCTTATGAATGTTGGGCATTGTTTCTACTGTTCAGCAGTCAGATAAGCTTGGTCCATCCAAACCAGAACTTGTTTAGGAAAACATGCACCTCACTCAGTCACCCCTTGACCCTGCCCTGCCCAGAGAGATTAGATAGCACACAGGTGATGGAATCTGACTTGAACACTTACCAGCTGGGGGAACTTGGGCAACTCTGAATGTCAGTTCCCTGCTCTGTAGAGTGGGTGGTGGAACGGTAATTGTGTCACCTGTAGAGTGGCTGTAAATTTGCTATGAGAGGATCCCCATGTAAGGAACTTAAAACACTGTTTAGTGCAATCAGAGCATAGTCAATGTGGGATCTTTGTATTATTCCCAGGCCATGCTAAACCCACAATTCTTCCTCTTCCTCCCTCAGACACAGCATAGACCCAGCCCATGCCCTCAGGTGATGCTGGAGAACAAGACCTAACATGGTTCCCATTGACTTTGCTGGGTACATGGACAGCACTCAGATGACTAGGGCAATGGCCCCACTGCAAGGAAAGTGTCAGCTTCCAGCAAATGGCAGTCTTCTGCTAACCATCCCTCCTTCCTTGCCCCCAACTCAACCAGTCAGTCATGCCACCCCCACACCAAGAATCTGCATGCTCACACCCCAATTCCAGATTCCCTCTACATCCCCCAGAGGCCTTGCACCAGCAGTGGGGCCTGTGGAAGAGAGGCCTTCCTTCTCCTGATTCCAAGGCCCACAGGATTGTAGCACATAAGCATCTCTCCTGTAGACCTCCTTTACCACTTCCTTCCTTTCTGCATGACCTTGGACAGGTGACTTAAGTTTCTCAACGACTCCATTTTTGCAGAGGGTCCTAGAGGATTAAATAATTCCCCTAACTGGTTAGCAGCATGCCTGGCACCCAGTGAAGCATTCAGTAGAGGGTAACTGTTATTATTATTGAAGACCTCCCTGGCATGCTGATGCAAGTTAATGCAAACTGAAATGACTCTTGACAGCTCTAGAATGTTAACACCTACCGTACCCACCCCTCCTCCACCACTACCACCCTGTAGTTAATTAGAACCCTCCTCGGTGCTTTCCAAAGATCAGATTTTACTTTTACAGAGTTATAGAATAGAATGCATAGAAGTGGGTTTCAGTTCAACTGATAAAAAGAAAGTTGCTTTGAAATGTAGTGAGCTCCTCATCATCTTGTGTGAGCAAGCCCAGAGGAGAATTTGGCTTTAATGTTCTGGAGCATAAATCAACATACATTAATATTTCTTGCTGCACAACTGTATTATAATTCCAATGAAATGGTGGTGCCAGGAGGCTGTGGTGCTTTGTGTCATGATTTGGCAAGAGTTGGCAGTTCTACACCAGCCCTCCAAAGGGTTTTAAAAATTGTACTGGTTTGTGATATCCAAATTTTTAACCTCACTTCAGAGGAACCCCCTTCCTGAGTCCAGGGTTCAAAACCCCCGACATAAATCCCCACACAACCCTGAGCTTGGCCCCACAACACAGATCAGTACACAAAACTCCCAAGTCAGTTGGCTGATGCAGCGACCAAACTAAGGAGGCACTGGACAAGAGCAGAGCTGGGGGAATGGTGGAGTCCAGCAGACAGGGGAGGAGATACAGACTGGCTGCAGAGTGCCCAGCACATTACCCAGGCGACCAGGGAGATGAGTGGGCAACTTAGTCCCTCTCCCTCCAAGCTTGTAGCCCCCAGGGCACCTGCCTCAGAATCAAGTCTCCTAAAACTCCCTTCCCATCGATAAAAGATGCAGTAGGCTGAGGATTCCAGGCCAAGTGAGGAGCTGGGCAGAACCTGATGGATCCGGGCTTTGGGGGCTGTATTTGCCCACCTGTCCCAGACCCAGTCTCATCAGATGACATGCCCCTTCCTCAATTCTACAAGCTTCAAGAAATCAGCCTCAGGGCTCCATTAGGTTGTCTCCTGTTACGTATTTTACCTGGCCAGTGTTGCTCTGGAATCACCACCTAACAAGGGGGTGGGGAGTGGCAGTGGGAAAGATTGGCTACTGCAGGGAAGAAGGGCTGCCCTAGATGGCTCATTTGTGTGGCCCCTAAAACCTCATCCCCACTCAACAGTTCTGATAGCCACTTCTCCCCTCTCCCCTCCAAGTAGAAGAAAAAGGAGCTAGGACATAGAATCAAGTATACATTTTAAAAATTGTTTAATGGAACATAAACTCCTTTAGAAAAACATTCAGCTAGGTGATAACACCCATAGAAAAAAACACCAATCTTGTGTTTATCTTTTTTAATTTGGCATTTGTTATTTGCATTTATATTAAAGCAAAGTGCATCTTTTATTTTTCTTGTTTATACACATTGCACAATACATAAATAATGATGCTTATAAAACGTCTTTATATTTACAAGTAATAATATATTTATATATAACATAAAATACATTTTTTCTTTAATAAATCTCAGGGTTTTTTTTCAGGAGTCCTTTGTCTCTCAAAGCACTACAATGCTAAATTTCCAATGAGAATGCTTCTCTTGTTCATTTAAACCTTTGTAGTTAGAAAAATAGCTTATGTTAAAGTCTAAACATGCTCATTGAGCTAAGAACAGTGTCAAAGTATCATACGAGTGTATGAGTTGTAGAAGAAATGACAGAAGTTAGGTGTCAGCCTAGAATGGTACCTTGGGTTATGATGGACCGAATTCTTCCTGGTGAGCGGGAAGGAGGCCACTGGGCAGGTCCTTCTCAGGAATGCCCCTCACTGGTCTGATCGCAGAGCTCAGCACAGGGCGGGGGGTGGGGGTGGGTGTGGGGGTGTGTGTGTGTGTGTGTGTGTTTTGTTTGCTGCTGCTGAGCTGGCTTGGGATGTATGGAAGAAACCTGATAAACCAGGGCAGAGGAGAGGCCAAGGGGCCTGAAAGAGGACTGGGGAGCAACACTGTGACATGATGGGGCTGCCCCGGCAGCCCTCAGGAAGCCCATCTCATAGATCCAGGAGCAGATGGCCAAAAAAGACAGACGCTACAACGGCAGCGGAGTGGCAGAAGGGGAGTAAGACAAGGATGAAAACAATTGGTTCTGGTTCAGCCTCTACCAGGCTTGCTTCTCAGAAGCCTGTGGATAGGCCTGTGTCCTAAAGGGGGTTAGGTGGGGTAGGGGCTTCCATAGGCTGGGGCAGAGTGTCACTCCTGGCAGCTGCTGGGACACCCACCACCAGCCAGCCTGTCCAGGTACTGCCTCTGCCCCACTGAGCACGTCCAAAGGGCGCAGGAGACACACAGCTTGGAACCGCAAACCTCTCAGCTGGGGACATCCGTAAGGAACAAAGGCTTTGCTGACCTCCCCATCTTGCTCACAGACACACACTCACTCGAGTGTACACTCCTGACAAGTGAAATGCTGAACCGAAAGTGAAGGGACTGCTCCCCATTCAGACACTGTGTTTGGTGGTGCTGACTTTTGCATCCCCCTTTCCCACAGGGTGACCTGTCCTGCCAACCACGCTCACCCCCTCCAAATCAACAATTCTTTGCATAAGCTATTTCTCAAAGAACAAAACAAAAACACAAACAAGGACAAGAAGAAAAAACAAAAAAGAAAATACCCCACCAACAACAGGGAAAAAAATGACCAAAGAGTTTGCATGAAAAGCAAGCACTCGGGAGGAAAAGATTAGCAGCAAAGTAGTTTGAATGGTGGCCTGCTCGGCGTGCACTCCTCTCCCCAGTGGCTACCGGCTGTTGAAGATGACCTCCAGCCAGCACGGGCAGCTGCTGATGAACTGGCGGGTGTAGCACTGGCCCCAGCCCTTCACAAAGCTGATCTGCACGGTGAAGCCCGTCCATGGCTGCTGCATGAACTCGTGGTCATTGGGTCGCTGCAGGCTGTACGCTTTCTCATAGTCGAAAGCCTTGATGGAGAAACCGGGGAACACCTTGTGCACCAACAGCGTCCTGGAGTCCGGGTTGTCCAGTGTGGCGGACTTGATGAAGATGGGGTAACTGCTGCGGTTGTACACCCACACGCCATCCACTTCCCGAGTCAGCTGGATGCCACAGCCGATTTTGCTCCGCACTTTCTGCACCAGCTGACTCTTGTTGTCCGAATTGAGCTGTCCGAGGCAAAAGCCATTCCCCTGAGGTAGATCATAGAAGATATCCAGGGAGGGCTCCTGGACACAGTAGAGCCTCCCCACTCTCGTCTTCTCCTCCCAGTATGCCACCACGCACCAGTGTGACCGATCCCCAGGCTCCAGAAGAAGTTGGGAATCTAGAAAACAAAACAACAGGCAAGGTTAGCGGCTCATTTTTCCTGCTACAACTGAGATAACACATACCCCCCCCTATAACCAGGGTGATGTGATGGTGGACCAGGACTAGCTGCAGGTGCTACAGTCCTCCTACTGGGTCGTGGATGGCAAGAGTCCTGCCTTTCTCTCAGCATGGGACTCCCAGAGGTGCTTCCTCCACCCCATGGTTCTGTCAGGAATCCAGGACACCAGCAACTGTGCCCACTTGGCAAAGAAAAGTCCCATCTCTGCAGAGCACAGATATTAATTTTTAATTTTTTGTGCCAAGACAGCCCAGAGTTAAAGGTCTGAAATGGAACCCTGAAGTCCAGCTCCCTCAGCCCCTTTCATCCCAGTTAAACATACTGGGATCCATAAAGCTGGGGTACTGGATGATAACCTAACCAGACATGGAGCCAGCCTGCCCAGGCTCTACCACCTACTCTACAGCATCTGCTTGTCACCAAAGCTCTCCAATCAATGCCTTGGTCATAAGGGTCTCCTATCTGGTAAAAATGAGGGCGGTTTGGGGCCAACACTTCTGTCTAATTTCCTAACAGAGAAATAACTCTCAGTGTATCAAGGGTGAATTTCTGTCAAAATGCCAAATCACAACACACAGGTGGGCACTAACCTAGACAACCTTAACAAAGCCTCCTCCAGCTCAGCCAGAGACGTGTGATATGTCTAAAACGAAAGACATGGCCAGCCTTGAAGTACTCCTTCTCTGCCTGCAGCCCCCTCTCCATGTGCCCTCTCTCTCCCCTTCTCAGACTGACCTTGCCTACTCTACCAACGCCGTGTGCCCAGGTGCCCTGCCCTGCAAGCTCTAGCCTGGCTTTCCTCCTCAGTTTTATACAGCAGCCTGGGAGCCTGGGGTAATTCTGGTTAGGTGATTTTCCTAAGCAGGCAGCTCCAGGACTTTAAAAGGGGAATCATGTGGAGGGAAAAAGACTCCTTCCCCCTCCCCCGCTGCCTCCTTAAGCTGGAGCCAGTGTTGGGCAGGCCTCAGACTGGAGACCATAAATCTCTCCAGCCCAGCCAGGCTGCAGGAACGCTGTGGTTTGTGGTGGCAGGGTGGAGACCGGAAGTCTTGTATTTGTTAACAAAAACGGGGAAAGGCAGCGGGGGAAAGATGAGAGAAAAGCAGGCACGGAGTTGGAGCCCTCATGCTGCTCTCTCACTCCAGTGGGTCTGTGGGGACCCCTAAGGTGGGGGTTGAGTGTGAGAAGTGTTTTGCCATGCCACTTGGTTTCTGAGCAACTGGGCTCAGAGATTTGCCAATGAGGGCCGTCCCCTACAGGACCCTTGTCCTGCAGCCCAGCAGGCCGTGTAACCCAGTTCAGCTCAGCACACCAACTCTTTCCAGCTTTTACAGGCATGTTAGGACGTAGGAACAGTCAGCTCTATTACCCCCCACCCTTTAAAGCAGCAGCCAGTTTTGGATGGAAATGTAAATCTACAAATGCGCAGTGACCCACTGAGGCACCCTGAGCAGCTGTCCCCTAGACACCCCAAATGACTTTCCCAATGCCTACACAGACAGCCACACTGAAAGGGGAAGAACCCAAGGGCTCATTCCTCTCTTGATCCCTCCCACCTCCACTGAAAGGCAACACCAAACCTGGCCTGTCCCCCAACCCCTGCTGTATAAAGTGCAAGAACCATGAGATTTGTGTGTGTCCAGGGCATCAGGGCACAAGTGTGTGCATGTGAGGGTGTCTGTGTGTGCATACACACATAGGAACATATGGAAAAACAGGAGAGGGACAAGGGTTCGGAGCAGAAGGTGACTCATCAGGCATTAACTTGTTTCTGCAAAGTATCCATCAACTGCTAATAAACTCGTAAGGGCTGGCTATTTGAACTTCCCTGCCGGGGAGCACGGAAGTGCTGGGAAGGCACAGGCCCTCTTCTCAGAGGTACTGGTCCACCTTTTGCAAGAAGACGGTGTTTTGAAATGCCAGAAGCTCTAGCTGGTTCTGACTCAGGACAACAAACCTGGCCAGGAAAGGAAAACTGGGGAGTGGCTGGGAGGCAAGGCAAGGAGGGAAGGCTTCGCAGTGGCCAGTGGGGAGACCCTTAGCAAAGGCTCACAATGCTTTGTTTCATGCATCCCCACCCCTACTGAAACCTGGCACTGGCTGGGAGGGAGGAGGAGCAGGTGAATGAGGAGCAGGTGAATGGGGTGCCGGTGAGGCAGGGGCCCAGAATTGATTTGGCCCCCTGCCAGGCCTGCTGGCCACCTCAGCAAGGGGTAGAAGCCTCATCCAGCAGGCAGGCCCCTCTCGGGGCAGAGGACGAAGGGTGGGGCCAGGCTGGGGGGGGCGGGTGCACACACATACGCTGGGCGGGTTTCTCTTTCATCTGCACAGCCAGTCTACCCAGCAATTTGCTGCCAGACAACCCCTGGTAAAAGCCTTTTTCTGTCGAGGTTAATGGCCCAGCCCAGATAAACAGCAGCATGTGGGTATTCCTGCAAGTGAACAAGGTTCCTGAAAGTAGGTGCGGCACCCTAATCCACCACAGGGAGACCCCCTGCCTGTCCGTGCATGCCACTCTACCCCTCAACTTTCCTCCAATGGTCTCCAGCCCCTGAAAAGGCAGCTCCACGCCCCCAGCTCCTGCCTGCCCAGGGCATTTCTGAGCAGAAAACATGCTCCAGTAAACCCACTCAGCAACAGCTTAGAAGGCTGCTGTAGCACACAGTCTAGTGTTCACATCACACCTTTGGGGACGCAGCACCAGCACAACATCCCACACTGCCAGGACAGAGACCCACCCACCTCCATCTGTTCTGAATTCTCCCCTGTTTGGGCTCATTTCTGGAAATGACCCAGCATCATCTTCAGAGAACTGTTCCCTGAATTGGTCCCACAACCCACAAGTCTCCCAGCAAAGGTCAGGGTAGACCCTCTGCTCCTGAGGATTCCCCGAGAGCTGTAGCCAGGGCCTACAAAGTGTTGGTCATCACAAAGACTGAGTCTCAGAGACCATTTCTCATGGTTTCTCATCCTCGCTGCTGACGCTTAACCCCTCAAGGCAAAACTCACAGTCCCTTGTTAACTTCCCCCAGCTTTATAACCTTTTCCGGTATTTGCAACAACTTCTTCCCCTCCCCAGAAAACTGTACAGGGGCTTGTTTTAAAACTGTATGTGTTCATTTGAAAGTATCCAAAAAGAAAAGCTGTGTTGTAAAAAGCTCACTAATCAGATGCCTGCTCACAATTTTTTCTTTTTATTACAGTTGAGGGAATTTTTGGAGCAACAGCAGAAAAATGCTGAATCTGCCTAAAATCCTGTTAAGGTGTTTCCCCCTCCCCTTCCTCATTTTCTTTAAAGCAGAAAATCTCTCCTGTAAGGGGAAGGGGAGGTAAGGGCTGAGAAGGAGAGGATTTTGCCCATGTCTGCACACAGCACTGAAGAAGACCACTTAGCAAGGGGCTCCCTGCCTTGGACAAGGAGGCAGTTAATTACCCTGGTCATGAATGAACAAACCAGACCCTTCTAGACCAGCAGCTCATGAATGACGCTCAGGCCACAGGTCTCAACCACACAGGGTGACCAGATCCCAAGGCCACATTTTAAGTAAGCAAGGAATTTTCCCCTTGGAAGGTGAGCGGAGGATGAGCAAGAAGAAAAACAAAGGGAGAGGCCGGGGATTTAGCTCAGTAGTTCTGCCGCCTGCCTCGCAAGCGCAAGGTCCAGAGTTTGATCCTCATTACAAAAAAACAAAAAAAGGAAGAGAGAAAGGCCAAGTTCAGGGTCTCAGTGGTACCATTTCTGGTCCCCAGCTTGGGAAGTAGTTGACCATGAAGCCAGAGATGGGAGCTATTCTGGAAACATCTGTGGGATTCTGAGAATATGGGTATACCTGACAGTGCACGTCCACACACACAGAGGAGGTGCAATGGGGAAAGAGGTCCCCAAGATTAGGGCCCTGGAGGGCAAGGACAAAGCCTGGGAAATGAGGCCAGTATGACAGAGCTACAGCAGCTGGTATCCACTGAGGCTAAGGTACCCAGCTAAGCCAGGTGTGGTGGTACATTCAGGAGGCTGAGGCAGAAAGATTATGAATTTAAAGCCAAGGTGAGTACGTATTGAGACCTTGTCTCAAAAAACAAAACAATGCTGGGTGCAGTGGTGCACCTCTGTAAATCCTAGCACTTGGGAGGCTGAGGCAGGATGATCCTCACGAGTCTGAGGCCAGCCTGGGCTACATAGTGACACCCTGTCCCAAAAATCAAAACAAAACCATGCCTAACTGCCAGGGCCAGGGGGCGGGGGAAGGCTCTGGGGCAATAATAAGAGGGCATGGGTCTCAGCTCTTAGTCCACTCTCATCTCCCCAGGGCACTTGGAACGCAACCAAAGTCCAGTGGTGTGAAGGGCCTGCCCCCGCCCCTCCCCAACAGTCCAGCGGAGCAGAGGCTGAGCATGGAGAGGCTAGGCAAGAACGGAGCCTGAGCAGAAACTGCCTCCCATGGGCCTCTCTCCAAGCTGATCAGGGGCAAACGAAGGACAGAAATGTAAATACAAAGGCTCACACCCAGCAACTCCCAAAGGCAAACATCACCGCGCCTCCACTGAGGCAGGTGGGTCCAGGTTTCTCTCCCTACTAGGGACCCAGGTGCCACCAGCCGCAGCCCTGTCCTGTCCTTGCCTCCCCGTGCTTCCCCTCTGCCTCAGGTATCTCAAAGGTCAGCAGCACCAGGTGCCCTGGTACCCTGCTCCTCACCCAGTCAGGAAGCTGACTGATCTCACCCAAGCTACTTCAGAGATAAGAGCTGAGATAAATATAGGGGGACCCGGCACCCACACATCCAATCTAGTCTCACCCCACATCAGCAGAACAAGGATGCTTGACTCTTCTTTCCAAAAGGCAAATGACCAAAAAGCAAAGCCAACATGCAAACTGGCAGAAAGGCGGGGTCCAGGCTTGCACCTCACCCACATCATGCATGGAGATACTGCCCACGGGC